AGCTATGGTAGCGAGCGAACAATTAAACACAGGTTGAGGACGTTTCCATAAATCAACAAACATTCAAGGTGCAATAAGATATCCATGAGAAAGCAGTTCTAATAGTAAGGTCCCATTCAATCTATACGTAATTACAAAACCTGTCAATGCCTACATTTCAGTCTATTGGAAAGATTTCTATTCTTCGAGTGTTTAAGTTGTCTGAAAAGTGTTAACATGTCATTCGGTGCTGACAATTTACACCAATTTATCACCTGAACTGGACATCTATCTTGGAAAGCAAATCGTATTTCAAAATAAAATGAGAGATAATTTGAGCAAATTTAATGAGGGCTAAAACTGTTTCTTAAGATAAAAAAGATAATAAGCATCTTAGTGATTTTAAGAAAATGCCTCCTTTGTCAATAAATTATCATCAGTTGATTGGCCATATTAAAAGGCATACATAATATTTACATGAAAGCTCCGTTTTGTACTAAATTAAAAATTAAATTTAGAAGTTATGTGGTGTGTTTGACTTTTTTCCGCAATAGTAAAGGGCGCGTTTCCTTAGCGTGCACCAAAAACGTACTCAAGTTTGTGAAAGTATTCGAAAGATTTTTTCAATTTTTATTTGTGTTGTTGCAAATATCGCTAGAAGTCTCTTTGCTTAAAATTCTGCATCCGACGTTATCATTTGAAGATGAACTTTCCTATTATATGCAAAGGAGATGGTACCTCGTTCACTATGATGAAATTGTTCCATAGTTATTGTAATGACAAGGACTTTCTCAAACTTGAGGTGTATGGTTTGCGTACTTGTACACCGGTAGACTTGAGGTAAAAAAGAATTTTCATTCAGTGTAACTCAACGTTTGAGAGGGCTGAAATTGACACGTGGGGTACTAAGCCATCGTAAGGGAGAAGCGATTGAAAATCAATAATTGATAAGCAGTTGTACAAGAGAAATTAATTAACTTTGTTAAAATGGAACGAACTGTTATTTTCTATTTTATGAAGAACAGATTATTTCTTACTGTTTAAGAAATGCAAAAAACTACTTTAAACTAATTAAATTTGAATGAATAGTTTTTAATGTGCTACATTTTGGTGAACCCGTTTATTTTAGACAAAGATAAGAGAATTTTAAATTGCTGACAACACCTTCAAACAGCTATTTTAATAAGATACTCTTATCATTAAAATCTTATTGATTTTATTATAAGTAATTTAGTCTTAAAGTTTTCTAACTTTTACGAGCATATTCACAGAAAATCTGTTTATTATGGATGATATAACACTAGCATTGAGTTTTACTCATATATTCTAAGAATGAACTAATTTTAAAAGTTGACCTAATCTTTCAACATTTTTTTCTTTTGACTTCTCAATTTCCTGAGTTCATCCTCCCCCCCTCAGCTTGTTGCTCTGCCTTTTCCGCTCAATCCTCCCAATCCGCTTTCTCCTTTCCTCTATCTCCGTCTCTCCATCATTTACCCACCACGAAATCCCATTTGGTAAATTAATACAATTATTTCTAAAATTTGACAACATCGCGTGTATTTCAGGATAGGGTTTGAAGAAAGTGTTTCCCTGACAGAAATTATAATTTCTTTTACAAACAATCACCTCTGTGTGGCACGTTTCATTCCAAAATCTCGTCAAGAAAAGTCAGATATTATCATTAGATCCTGTTCTATTCACAAGTGAATGCTTGTTTTAACGTGGGGCTAAGTCCCACCCAGTAGGGAGTCCACAAACACTAAATTAATGCTATTTTCGGTGGTAGTTCTACGTTAATTTTTTTCCCAAAGTCTTTGCCCACTCCTGCCTCAGGATAATAAAAACAGTCTCTAATTAGGATGCTGTAATAAAGGAATGCCTTAAAGTTATTTACCGTAGGTAGCAACCCAGTTGTCTTTATTGATGCGGTTTATTGCTCTCTTAGCATTGGGTCCTGAAGTTTTATCGATTTTTCAAAGCAGCTGACTTGGTAATTGCTTCCTAATTGAATAAACCAAGCGCAAGGAAAAACTTGATTTTGAATTATGCTTAATTTTATTAAGCAAGACTGTTATTATGTTAAAATTAAGCATCTTCGTTATCATGAAAATTTGTCAAATTCTAATGCATTTAGAACATTAGATGAAAACAATCGAATGTATTTTAAAGCCTCTGACACATAATTTCATCCAAACTAATTTCGATTGCAATTAAACTTTCTTTCATCTATTTAAAATTTAAGTGATTTATGAGCAAACGGAGCAAATGGTGTGTTAAAATGATGTCACAGAGTACAGGAAGGTTTGTGAATTTTGAATTCAAGCCATGATGGAAAATTAAATATTTTTCAATGCAAATGTATCTTAGCATGTGTGATTACTTCCTAATTTGGGTAGCTGGTTTTTTCTTATAAATGAGTAGTATTATTGCTAGCTATACTGCGAAGGCTCTTAATTGTTGGCAGTTATTCATGGGTTATCTTTGGTTCTAAGCTGTCAGTGTTTCATTGAAAGAAGCAAACTTGTATAGTTCATGTGCTGATACAACAAATGTATTTGGTTTAAATAACAGGTAGAGTGAAAGCACATAAAGGCACAGATTTAGATATGAGTAGTATTATACTTAGAAATCTTGATGCGTTGGCGAATCCACCGACACGGATATTGCATAAAATTTTGTCTCCGCATTGCCTTTCATACTATTATATTTGTCAAATATTATGAAGTGGACCAAAATAAATTATGTGCTCTAAAACCGTTTGGTCACATCATTAAATAAACGGCTGCACACTTAAATGGAAATTTCAAAATAAAACAGAAATTGTTTGAAGGATTTAGCACTTAATGGAGCTTAACAAAATGCCTCGTTTCGATATCATTACACAGATAATGGTGTTTAATTTGATACGGTAACAGCAGCCTCTGCAGCTACAAAAATAATGCATCAGATATCAGCTCCGATTTTGCGTCCTTCCTCTGATACGATCAGCAGTCTGCGTCTTGGCATTTGGAATGCGGCCTGCTGATCAAATTCGACTCATCCAATTACTTTTCTTGGCAGTTCATGATATTATCTCAGATCTCGGCTTCTAGTTATTTATAAACAGTAGCTCATTTTTAAATAATTGGATACATAAGTTTTCTCTAGCTTTATTTTTTTATTTTTTATTAAATTAGTCTAAGTTATTGGATATTCTACCAATGCACATTTTTAAACTTCATAACCAAACGTTTCATGTTTCCATTCATATTTTATTTAATGTTATTTATTTCAAATACTATCACATTTCAATTTTTGCAATGTATTTGTATTTGGTAAAACATGAATATTTGTTTTTTAATTTACGAAAGGGCTTTTAATTTAATAAAAACATATTTTCTTTAAAACACTTCTAACTATCTTACAGCAGAATTGACGAACATTATAGCACCAACTATCAAAATTACAAACCTATTCCTGAACAGCTGTGATTTATCTTCGATAGTTTATGACAATTTTGTTAAAATACACTCGCTTCAATTTTAATTGTTGCTTATTCAAACTACGTTCCATAATTTTGAGATTGTACATATTATATTTACTGTACTGCTGGTTAAAATTAATCTTATAAACCGATTGATCTATCTCAGCTTTCTTACTTCAGATCTGGGAATAGTTATTGATCTCCCTTAAACTGAATGATCAGCGGATTGTATATTATACACCTTAATCATATTACAAAAGTCGCTTTAATTTGGGTTTAATGTCAAATTAATTTATTGGTGGGTAATTTTGCTATCGGTCTTTTACTAAACAACAAATAGTCAAATATTGGGAAATAATCTAGTCAAGAAATACATCACTTTTAGAAAAAGGTATATAGCAATAAGTTCTTTCTAAACAAGGAATGTAAAATTAATTTTGTCAGAACCATTAGAACGACTACAAATATTTTATGTGTCAATTTTCGTTACATCAACAATAAGTGAAAAAAATTAAAATGTCGTTTATTCAGATTAAACAACGCAGGTTGGATAAAAAGTAGATTACTTTGATAGAATTGCGATAATTTACAAAATCATTTTTATACCATTTTTCACCGATTTTGAAATAAACAGTCCATCTCTGGAATAAATAGTCTTCCCCACATTTTATTATCAAAAATTTTAAAAGCATAGATAGTTCAAAGTACTAATATTCAAATCCTAAGTAAATTTTGGGTTTTTTAAACCTCCTATAGTTGCTTTCGAAGCATATGAGAGCCAATTGTTATCACCATCAGAGTAAAAACTACTTAATGGCCACTACAAGTGCTTAAAATTGGAGAAATTCCACGGAATCATGTGACCGATAGAGTTCCGCATTTCAAATTTTGTTTATCTGACAAAATGGCGGTATCAAAATACTATTTGATCAGTATGAGATTTTGTAACGCAGTGGGAATTTCGGAGGGAATTACATAGTGGACCCCCAGAGAGACACGTCATGTTCACATCGTATTTTATTCGACAACTTACAACTCTGTAAAGAGAAATATATATAGAGAGCAGAGAGTTTGGTGAGGCCAAAAGTTTGCAGACTAAATTCTGTGTGTCTTTAAAGCAGCCAACTTTGATTTATTAGAATGGGAGAATGTGAGCCACCACCATTCTTTATGTCTTTTGTCCGTGATACTTTTGCGGATTCGGATATTTGATCCAACATTTAGTCGATTTGAAAGCATTTAGACTAAAGTGTATTTTTTTAATCACAAATTTTGCAAGCCCGTTGCAATTTGCTCAGTAGTTGAAGAAAGCGCAGTTTGTTATTTTTTTAAATTGACGGTAAAATCACTACCCTCTTAATATTTACGCAGTATATAGTTGGTTAGGTCTAGGACCTGCAGACAGTAGAGATCTGAAGTAAGATGGTTTCAAGGCCAATTTAAGAGCTGCTTTAATGCTCTATCAAATTAAATTAAGTCAATAAGCCAAAGTAGTATTTGACATCAAATGCACTTCAATGTTTCCTCTTACATGAAATTATGCACTTTTAATCTGATGTTCCTTGAGCTGTTGGTATGGCTACTATTACTTCCATTGACCAAAATTTTAGTTAATTTCAAGGCGTTAAATGTTGAAAATAAGAATGCAATCAAAGTCAAATTTATTTATTTGTCTTTTGATTGTAATTCTTACACCATTCCCCAAGAAAGCACTGCTGTATGATTGACTCTGTACATCTATTTGACAATAAAATATTTCAAAAAATATCAACAGACTATTCGCTAAATTAGGTTATAATACTTCTAAGTTTGCATTCTGGAATAAATACAAACCAAATACATTCAAAACTTTAATTAATTTACACAAAATTTGATATCAAGTACGCTTTTTACGCTCAACAATTTTATCTTTGCTTAGGCAACAAATTCCACTTAAAAGGGATTGAACTCCAGGCTCTCTTTCCAGCCATTGATGAGTACATGACATATGAGGGCTCCTTGCCCTTTCCGAGCTGTGCAGAAACGGTCACTTGGATTATTCTCAACCGATCTATTCAAATATCCCCTAAAGAGGTGAGTCAATGCATAAAACGCAAATGAAACAACAAATTGGAAAGAAAAGAGCTGATTTAGCTGAGAGAGACATACTCCCAGATTCAATGAAATTGAATGGACAAAACAATCTTCGAACTTATTATGAACTTGGAGTCATAGCATAATATATTTAGAAAATCAAAGATAATTGCTAATTGTTGATCTAATCGAGTTGTTGAATACGAAATAAGAATCATGAATGCTTCATGTGGCTATTATGCAAATATATAATGTTAGGTAGACAGTGAAAAGGATACAACTCATTTTTTCTGTGCTTTAAAGCGGATAATATAAAAATGCAATCTACATGTGATTTCACTTATTGAACTTTTATTTTATCCGGACTTTTCAGCTCTAGATCAAAACCTCTTCATGATATTTGGCCCCTTGCTGTCATTGGCAAGAATAGTATATTTGATTTCAGCATGCTAATATCTCAATGAAATTGTTTAAGTGATGCTACAAATAGGTCTGGCAAGCTTTAATTAATCCTGCTTTCAACGGCAAAAATACTATTTGATCCTTTTTAATTTAATTTAATTTACTAACCTCTCATCTACTTCTCGCTAATTTTTAAACGCCTTTGTTAAGCCATTAAAAGCGAATTATCTTATATTGCAGCTTTCCAGTTTGCATGTACCCCGTGGTATTCAATTTCTTCCCTTGATTTATTCTACAAATGACGATAGCTTCATTTCAAACTCGTTTCACTCTGGTAATTTAGGTAAAAGTGACCATTAAGTGTTTCCTTTAGGTAAAATATCGCTTTTCTTCATTTTATGGATTATCAATTATGAAAAAAATTAATTTGATTAATTAGTGTGGCGTCAAATGTGAAGAAGCTGAGATTTATGCTTAAACTACATTACTCTTGAGATAATCGGAGTATATTTTTGGGGAGAGGGGGAGGGGAATGAGAGCCTTTTTGTCAGAGGATTAATTTGCTTCAACTTGATATGAAATCTCGAGCTCTCTGTACTCATTCTTTTAATCCTACCAAAGCCTTGTTTGTAAAACCCGCTTTTGAAAATTTGGCATTTAATGTGCACAACTTAAAGAAGTAGTGTTACTAGAATATAGCGCATGCATTACCCATAACTGGAATGATATGCTTGCATTTAATAGGCACTTTAAGCAGTTAATAAGCTGAATTAAATCTTAAAATACCATGACGGTGTTTTTACATTTAACTACAACTCCGATAAAACTGTTTTATTTGAATGGCAGTCGTTATTAAAGTTGAGATGAAATAATAGAGCCTATCAGTAAATAATACCTATGGTTTAAGGCTTTATTGAATTTTGAACTTTTTCATTAACTTTTCTAATTATAATCAAGCATTTTTTGGTGATTTTGACTTTTAGATGAAGGTGTTGCGTCAACTTCGAACCGATAAAACGCTATGGTCGAACTCGATGGCAGACAACTTTCGTCCCGTCAATCCTCTCAACAACCGCTCAGTGAGAACGAACATCCGCTTCGCAAGCACAGTTAGTTCATTAATCCTATTCTCAAGTCAACAGAATTCAATTTTCCAAAGAATTTTGGGCTTCTAATGGCCAAATTAGCATTTTAGGCGCACCCACTATACCAAATTAATCTTACATAAGTGTTTGTCAATTTTGAATTAATTAATCTAAGCACAATTTTAATTAAGAATTAACGATGAAATATCTAGAAATAAGCTCTGAATTATACTCCAAAACCTATTAGGTAGATTGCAGTTTTTCGACAAAATGGGGGAAGCTATATTTATTCCATATATTTCTTTTTCATTATATCTGCAATGAGCGAAAACAGTTAGTTGATGATCGCAAAGAAATGACGATCTCGCATAGACCCTATCTTTTCTCCGAATAAAAGGCAATTAATGGGATAGCCCAGTCATTTGCATGACAAAACTTATCACCCCGGCTGATAAAGTTCGGCGTCGAAACCCGTCTACTTAATTTGCAATTTATGCCTTGGAGAAGGAAGGGAGTTTCATTAGATGCCGTTGCGTGTGCAAAGCTTATCTCATCATAAGTTCTTCAGTCCGATTACTGCAACATTGCGGCTCAGATAAAATCTCGCCTATTAATGTGAAATTAACGTTTTTTTCGAATTCGTGAGGAAATTATTTTCTATTTAGTAATGAAGAGATATCGCTATGAATTTAATGATCTCAAAAGTCTCTCTATTTGGAAGAAACAATTCTCGTTTCGCAACATTTTGCTTGACCAAGTTTTCAGTCAGTAATGCTTATTTATACCTTTGGTGCAAACGAATGACAATGAAAGGAGAACCTTTTGACGTTTCTAACGAGAGCGAAAAAACATGCGACCTCCAATTGGTTAGAATGAAGACAGCGAAGATAGGAGAGAAAATTAAAATCATTCCAGTCTCTCCTGTTCAGATAAGTTCGTTACTATTGATAATCGATGCCAAATTACATCCTAATTGACCTACGTTTAGTAATGGGCTTCACCAATTTCAATGACTATTATTAGTCTATCAAATGGGTGTGTGAAGGAGAATTTCTGGTTATATCCAAGAACTCCTTTACTCTGCTCAAGTCAATTGTAGAAATGGTAGTGGTTTGAGAAATTTTGTCAATAGTATTCATCTCCAGCTTTGATAATATTTGAATAGATTGCCTAAACAAAAGGGCAGCTATCGCCTAGCACGTAATACTGATAATTAGTTCATTTTTTTCGGTATATAAATCTCACTTCTTTTATATAAAAAGTAAGGTCCTTGTTTAAGAGAATGGAGTTCTACAGATACTAATTGGCTTCTTACAAACTTCATAAATTTATTTTCCATCCTTCGAGAATTTGTCTGCATTTATGAACTACAAATTTAAAGTATCTACAATTTGGCAACTTACTTTTTAAAACGATAATAACGAATTTATTAGACAATTAAATATTTTGAAAATTTACAATTTTATTTTGAAATTTAATTTACTTCATTTTTAGGATGGCGTGTGTGAATACAGAAACTCAATATCATATCTTGGTGAGTGGTTCGAATGAAATATTTTGCCTACTTACACTTATAAGTAGCAATAACTAATTTCCGTAATTTTAATTTTCAGCTGCCCACACTTCATCGCCCTGATGAAGAATTGCGCCTCAGTATTCAGAAAAATCTACCTCCTTCTCTCAATTCTAGTCCTTCCTTAACTAATATGCGAAGTCTCAGCTCTTTTATCAGAAAATCCTCCTGAAAGTGAACTTGATGTTTCAGTTTTTTGCTACCTATATGTACTAATGTGAAAAGAAAAAATTCATTCCGATTACAACAATCAAATTATATTCTGCTTGAGAAATTCGTTTTGTCTTCCTTCTTCCCTAGTATCTTGCAAAAGGGAAAGATGGTTTTAAAATATTCACTTGTCGGTGTTCTATAAGTAAAATTGTACAATATGTTGATATTTTATGAAACACCGTTTTATTAAAAATAAAAAATGAATGTATTTTTTATTAGTTAACAGCACTTGTTTATTAGTTTTGCAACCCTAAAAGCCTCCCAAAAAGCCCAAACGGAATAATTCACTGAAAATTATGCCATAGATCCTATTTGCTTCGCATTGTCTCTAACACCGCCACAGGCTTTGTGTTCATTTTAATAATAATTTGAAATCGTAATTTTGATTAAAAAATTGATATACGTACTCTCCATCTGAATAAAAAAATTTTATCGAATTATGATTTCGGAATTTTTGTAAACTATGCTATAGCAAATAACAATTCCCATATTCACGTCTATATTTTCTATGCAAAGGGGTAGGTGAGATCTGTCTGTTGAAAGTTTTGGAAACAATAGATTGGAGCATGGAAATGAGAACGAAATATTGCATTTTATCAATCAAAATATCACATTTGATCATTAAACTTCATCTTTAGGAACTAAAATTTGAAATCAACACCCCAATTTCTCAAATTTGTGGGACACGTTATCGCTTTGTGCGTCATCGTATGCCTGCATGACAGGTTTGGGAGGTGTGGCTATACAACTCTATGTACAGCGATCGTACAAACAGTGGACAATCAGTAGCTTCCGTTTGTTTAACCTAATCCCCCATCCTGATCATGAATAGCTCCCTGTGTGTACACTTTATCTACAATATACGTACTGAATAAACGTGCTCCGTGCAACACGTCTGTTTCCTTTCATGGCTGGGCTATAGCTCAGCTGGTTCTGGGAGTCTAGCTAGATGTTGGAGAATCTGCCATAGAGATTTCTGAGGCAGTCAGGCTTTACTAAGGTATCAATCCGCTACAAATTTATGCAACTG